TATATATATATATTATATATATATATATATATATATATATATATATGGGGTATTCCATACCAAATCGACCACTTTTGAACCCGACCCCTTTAGATTTTGCTGAAACTTTTCCATCCTTTTCTACCCTTTGAAAAACATTTTTGAAAATTTTTTCAAATTTTTTTGTCCAACCTCAAAAAAGTTATGAATTTAAAAAAAAAATGGCTTTTTTATTTTCAAATAGCCATAACTTTTTTAAAAATTGACTTTTGGGTATTTTTTTTTTAATTTTTGTTTTTGAATGAACTTTTCAAAAAAATACACGAAAAAATACACGAAAAAAATTTAACATGATCAATTATATAAAATAATCGTTTTTTTTTAGTAAATTCGTAATTTTTTCGAAGTTCGCCGATTTTTTTTTGTATTTTTTTATTTATTTAAAAAAAAAATTGTCGAATTTTCAAAAATGGAAAAAAAATATTAACAAATTAACAAAAAATAAAAAATGGCGAACTTCGAAAAAATGACGATTTTACTAAAAAAAAACGATTATTTTATATAATTGATCATGTTAAATTTTTTTCGTGTATTTTTTCGTGTATTTTTTTGAAAAGTTCATTCAAAAACAAAAATTAAAAAAAAGGTACCCAAAAGTCAATTTCTAAAAAAGTTATGGCTATTTGAAAATAAAAAAGCCATTTTTTTTTAAAAATTCATAACTTTTTTGAGGTTGGACAAAAAAATTTGAAAAAATTTTCAAAAATGTTTTTCAAAGGGTAGAAAAGGATGGAAAAGTTTCAGCAAAATCTAAAGGGGTCGGGTTCAAAAGTGGTCGATTTGGTATGGAATACCCCATATATAATTATAATTTAAACATGGTTAAATTGTGTTGCAATTATGACATAAACAAGTTTTCCGAAGGAAATAAAATGTCAACCATGTCATTCAATAGGAAATTTTCATTTAAGAGATATTTTTAATCAAATTGGCAATTGTGTGTAAAATGGGGTGAATGGGAACAAAGAAAGAAATCGGAACAAAAGTGGGGGAAGTTTTTCAAAAATTTCTTACTATTGGTCATCTTTACAACCAGTTGAAGATCAGTAAATTTTAAGAAAATAAGATTTAAAGCATTTGGGCTTTTTTCAATATGGCATATCATTAGTCTATGTCATTTAGCCAGATACTTTTGACCATCTCATGCCCAAAAATAAAATTTATAATTAAGTAAATATTATAATTATAAATAACACGTAAACTTAATTTTTGGTAGTAGATTACAAATCCGTGCTTGGTTTAGCTGTATCAGGTCAAAATTAAAAAATATTGGAAATACCATGTATAAATTTAAAAAAAAAAATCAATTTGGCAATTTGGTTCAGTTCCAAAAAATAAAAAGTAGGAATCTACGACCAAAAATTTTGTTTACGTGTCCGAGCGTTTAGCTGTGATATTTCAATAGTTAAAAATTTACCTACAGTGTAATTATACCTGTTTATTAAGTCCATTTTTGCCTATATCAGTTCACTTTTTTCAATGGTAAACAGGATTAAAACCTGGCTTACTTAAATTTTGATTTATCAAAAAACGTGCTTACGATCCGTTTAGCAAGTTTACCCTAAAAAAGTTACACCTACCATTTCTAAAAAAATTGTCAACACTGATGGAAAATGAAGGTGCATTATCCTGCATAAATAAAAAAAAATTCAAAGACAGTTAAGGAGCCTCCGGTCAAATCCATGTACAAATTATGTACACATCTGGCGATAATTCAAGTAGCACAGTTGTTGTGTGAAGTTTCAGCGGATGAAAATATCATTATTTGTGTAATTGAACCAAAAGAAGTATTTATACTCAAAATAAATTAATCCGGCTTACTTAGTAAAAAAAACAAATTTTTAAAATTTAGAGGGTAGGAGTGATAAAAAACAAATAGGTATTGGTGGGATCCGATTAAAAACGAATAATTAACATTCAATCTGGCGATAAACAAACATGTCCATTCTTAAAAGTTATTTTTTTTTAATTTCGAAAGTATTTTGATCACGATGGTTTATTCAGGCGGGCTAGGGAGGCCAAGAGGATATAAGCTTTATATTGCAAGAATTTAATGTACATTATTTAAAAACAGTTTTTTCGCTCTCATGGAAAATCTGATATTTGGTTTTGACCGGACGCTCCTCAGTTAAGGGTTCCACAACTATCAGTGCAAAATAGAGTTGGCGATTTCAATTGGTGTTTGGTGCATTAAAACTGGACATCTGAGTAAAATTTGACAAAACAACGTTAAAACTTTGAAGTTCATAGAAATTCTCAACGTGTGCCGAATGATATACGTAGTTTTTTGGGTTTTACAGCAGCAGGTTACTTCGGGTACAACTTTGTGAATTTCGATTACTGCCTAGCACATGGCATACAAACTTTTTGATAGAAAAATTTTAAATGTAAAAGAAAATGAGTATGAGTATGAGTATAAGAGACGTATAACCAGCCCCATTTCCTCTTGACTCTCGAACCCCGTACAGGCCTATGTTTACTTACGCCGATTTTTGTTCTTCCCCAGCAACTTCGCGGCTTCACCCGTGTTTGCTGGGTGCGAATGTCCATTGCGTTTCGTACTGTCCCCTATTTGGAGCTCGAGAGCGAGAGGCGAATAGTTATAATAGCCATTCCCGGGTTCGCCGAGCCTATGCTATACGCTCAGTGGGGTATGGAGAAGGGACGGGAGGGTGTTGGTTTTTGGGGGACAATTACGCCGACTTAAAACTAAGTACGACGCGGAATCCCCCTAGACCAGTCGATTAATATTACTCCAAACATTTGGGATTACTATTTGGAGTTGGGGAGTTGTTATTGCTGCAGTGTGTAGTTACCTAGTCGAGGTCTTCGTCTTGTTCATTATTGTCATTATCCGTGTCGGATAGTTCCTGAACTTGGTAAAGTGTGTCGGTTGTTTTTTTTTATTTTGTTTTTATTGTTGCTAAGTTGCTCCCAACTGGTCTTGTTAATTTGTGAGAAGTGCATGTTTTGTGCTAACGTGTCATGAAATGTGAAGCATGGTCTCCCGACTTTTTTGTCTGTAAGGTCTAGTTTAAGGGTGGCTTGTAGTATGTTGTTGCGTTGTATACGTCTGAGGCGGCTAGTATTGTTTCCAGTCCGGCCCAGAAGCCGTAATTACCGTGGTCGTTTAGGTACGCATTAATTTGTCCTGTTTTGTCACTTATGTGTTCATAACGACTGCTTAGTTCATTTATTGCGTCCTCGATGTAGGGTCTGTACGTTCCTAGGTTATTACGTAAGTGGTTGTTTAATATTTGTCTAGTCTCTGCTGTTGTTTCAGTTTCGCGTAACGAACCTATCACCGTGTTAAACAGCTGATGTGCAATCGCTGCGATAAGGCAGTTCCCAGTGGGGGGTATTTTTTTTACTTTTACTATGAAGTCAAGAGTGTTTACAAATTCCATGGAGTTTGATTATGGTGCTTTTTTAACTTTGTTTATTTTTCTTAGTTTATGTTGTTTATGTCTTAAGTGTCAAATTTATTTGGTCTCGGTTTATTTTAATTGAGTTATGTTGACAGCTTTATTGCCCTGTTCAACTTTGGTGCGTGTCCGCGATCGGCTGTTTGGTTTTTCTTGGAAAATTGACTTTTATTTATTTAATGCCGATGATTATTGTTTTTTTTAGTTAGGCAATGTGCCTTGTTTAGTTCAATTTGCAAATTATGTGTTCCTTCCTCCCTTGTATGTCCTCTTTTGTTTGGCCTGTGGAGATCGACCTGTTGACCGATGGTGCGACCGCTCAGGCACTGACACTTGTCACTCGACACTTTCTTGTCACTCAACGCTTAAAACTTTTGACCGTTTCACTATGCTCGCCTGCACCTGTCACTTCACTCCTCCTTTTCACTTGGCCGTCAACTAATTATTGACCGTATTGTAGTCTGTACTCACAGTATTTTTTTTTTACACTATAGTAGTTTGCACTATGAAGGTTTATTTGTTGGTTATGGTTTTATCGTTATACGTTTTACGTTTACTCTGCCTCTGCTGCGTCGACTTCTTCACTCGACGGCTGGGACGAGAATGAAATGAAATGAAATTTTAAATGTAAAAGAAAATCTTTAAAATATTTCTAAAATGGGAAATGGGTAAATGTTCTTCAAAAATAAATTAATAACTTAATAGGATGCATGCCTTGTCAAATTCGTGCTTGTCCCACTCTGATCATTAATTAATGTTTTTTTAACTCTAATTTACTGTAAAGTATATTTTTAGAGAAATTAACATTATTTGTTTTAATGTTTCCTTCTCCATTTTTATAATAAAATTGGTTCGGATAAAGTGCTTTTTATATTTAAATCAATTTTTTTTAATACTGTTTCTCGTAATTGCTGGGTTATTCCATATATTATATGTATTATATTAAAACAAATTGTTTGGTGGTTTTGTTTTTACTTGATAAATCAACAACTTTAAATTGTATTTTTTGGAGGAAAATGCATATAAATTCATTGATGCTTACTGGTATTTTTTTATTAAAAATTTAATTTAACCACTCTTTTACTCGAAACAGGAATAGGTCAAAATGTGTAATGGGTTTTACCCTAATCAAATTTAAATTAAACCGAGCATTTTTAAAAGAATAAATAGACATTTGTTTTTTCCTCGCATTTATCATAATCTAATTTACCTAATAAACTCAAGAGAGTTTGTTTTAAATTCAATTTAGCTGTGCACGTTTACATTTTTTTATCCAAGTCTTCAAGTACAAGGAATTTCAAATTGATAATTATTCAGAAAACCAGTGGTGCAATGTTTCGGTTAATTTTTTATGTGCTTGTAGAAAATTTAACAAGGCTTCGTGAAGTGCAAGTGGGTAGGCAACGCGTATGGATTGGTCGCGGGGGTCCAATTAGTTGGTCTTCAAGAAGACCAGATCTGACCAATAAATTTTTGTTTATGGGGTAGGTTTAAATCAGAAGTTTACAAAGTAAAAGTAAATTACTGGGTACTTACATTTATCCGTGCGTTTTTGTTACTAGGGCTTTTTTCAGCGTAATGTTTTTCGATTTGTTTGGTCATTTCGAACATTTGTTTTAAACGAAATTTTGTTTTTCCAGGATCTTCGGTTTGTTTTTTATCTTTAGTCTCGGCGGAAATGACCTGAAATATAATAAAAAAAATAACTAAGGCATCTTAAAAATGTTTCTAAAGAAAAATAATGGAGTCGATAGGTATCCAATTCAGGGTTTTAAAGTTCAAACTATAATATTTTTCTATGTCTACAAAAACTAAAGAAATGATGGTACAAATTGAAGAGTTCAAATTTGCCTTATTGTCCACGTCGCATTAATTTAAGTATGAAAAATTATATTACTACACAAAATTTTACATTAATGTTGTTACTAAAAGAACCAGCTTCTTTTTTGATGTTATGTTATGAGTTCATATCATATTATTTTTTCCCCTAAAATCATATGTATACGTTTACTTATGGGCGACCTCTAATTATAACCGATTCCAAAAACCTAATTATTCGATCTTGTATGGTCTAATATTAAATATTAATTTACTTTCAAAACTGTGAAACAGTATTGATGATAAAATGTGCACTATTTAAAGTGTTCAATAAATATCTATTTCCTTACAAAAATATAACAATAGTAATTATTTTTACCCCATTTGGTTTATTAAACAAATTATATAAAACCTAATACATTATCACAAAAAATATATAACAAAACCTTCAAACCTATTTATATAACTTTTTTGTCTATTTAGATGCTTTTAAGACCAACTTAGCATTGATATTAGTGTTTTTTATTTTACACTGTTAGCAACTCTTTTTGAATGTTTCATGTCAACTACAAATTACTGTTTTTTTTTAACAAAATTATGGGTTTAATAATTATTATTATAAAATGTAAATAAAATCATATAAGAAATACATGTCTTTTTTAGAAATTTAAAAATGAAACATATTTTGCAAAAATAAATTTCTTCTAAAAAGTTGAAAATTATTGGCCCATATCAATTTTGCAAAGATTTTTGAATCAATTATCTACTCAAAAATATAAATAGCCTATAATTTATTATTCTTAAGTTAAAAAGTTGCTTTAACCACATCAACACGGCTTTATGGGAAAAATCAACTTTCTTAAAATGACTAGTTACTACAGTTATTATTGGCTTCTTTTTCAGTTATAACCATGGGATACCATGGATCCCCAACATTTAATAGCCCATCCTTATGTAAAATTGTCCCCTTAATCCGAAAATACTGTCAAAAATAATAAATGTAGGGAATTTTTTTGAGATATAGTCAATTCCATATTAAATGAAAGTTCTTGCAAAATTATCTATACATTTTACATGTAATTATATATTACTACTGTATGTCCTGTGGGTCCTGATTTTGACAGTGCATTTCTATAATGACATGGATAAACGATAAAAAAGGATTTAATCCCTAAGGGGCCGTTCATTAATTGCGTGAGGTGTTTAGGGGGGGGAGGGGGTCGAGCCAAACCTCACCAAATCTCACGTGGGGGGGAGGGGGGCTCTCGGCAAATATCACGTAATTTTTTTTTCCGAAAGAAAGAGTGTTAAATTGCGAGAAAACTGGGTTAAATTAAGTAAACAATTATAAGCAAATTGTTTTTTTTTAAATAAATCTAATGGAATCAAGCACAGATTAACTTATTTACATTAAAACCATGCATTTTAAAAAATCTCACGTGAGATTAAGGGGGGAGAGGGGGTCGAGCAAAATCTCACGACATCTCACCAAGGGGAGGGGGGGGGGGTCGAAAAATCGCCAAAATTGTCTCACGTAATTAATGAACGGCCCCTAAGGAGTTAAGTTGGGTCACTCCAAAATTAGGTTTTAGATTCGGCCATTTTTGAAAGTATTTAACGGCTGAATGGATTTTAATGAAATTTGGTCATAAGTTTTGAAGTTTAATTTCAAGTAAAACTTCCTTGCAGACTGGGTAACTAAAACTTGGCATTACAAAAGATGACACGGAAACGGCGCGCGCATATGCCTGTGTCGTATTAGAATATTAGAACAATATTCGCACTAGCATTAATTAAAAAATGATAGAATAAATTAGCACAGTAGTTCAAATTAAAAAAATTGGAAAGAAATCGCACAATAATATAAATATAAAAAATGGTAGGACAAATTTTCAAAATTTACAAAATTCTTAAAATTAATTTATAAAATTTTAAAAGCCTAAAAGTAGGTTAAGAGTTTAGAAAAAGCTTAAAAGCTCAAAAAAGCTTAAAACCTCAAAAACTGAAAAGGTTTTGGATAGTTGAAAACTGCCCAAATTTGACCACAATTGAATAATTTAATACTGCCCTTATTTTAAAAAACAAAATATGCATTTAATTAAATTGTTCAGAAGAAGTTTTACTTAAGTCGTGTGGTCTAAGCGCACATGTGTTTTTTTACTTTTAACCTTTTAACTCTTTTAATTTTATTTAATTAAAAAAAATAATTTTATTTAATTAAAAAAATGAGACGTGATTAATTAAAAAAATTAAACGTGATTTTTTTGGTTTATGTGCTGGAGATATAGAGATATAGCCAAAGAGTTTTGCAGAAACCTCGACAGATAATAAACTATAGTTTAAGGTTATAAACAATTCAGCTTTTTCACTGCCAAACCATGTGGCACCCAAACATAGAGGTTCTTCTTATACTCTTATCTTAATATTATTGTAGAGAGAGGTAAAGAGTGATTTATTGAATCTTTAGGGCTGAAATAGGTAGCACCACTTTTTACCTTATAATAATAATTTTGTTTCGTACACTCTCTTTATTTGTGAAATCTATCTGCTTGTGTGAAAAATAATAAACATGGAAAACATTGTTCGATGAGTTAACAACGAAGCAAATATTTTGTTTTTAAAGGTATCTATAGATCCAGGGGCGCCGGAATGTTTTAAAAACGTGTGTTGAGTAGATCTAGTCATAGTTTAGGAGGCATTCAAGTATTACTTAAGCAGGCTAAGGGGTGGGGATTTAATTTTTGATTACTTTTGCTGAGAAAGGGAGGGCGGGGGTAGGGGGTAGGGGGTCTAAAATCATGTAAAGTGTGCTTACGTAATGCTTTAACGCTCCATTAGGGGAACCTTTAAAAAATAAGTTATTTTAAGTTATGGCAATAAAGTGTTCTTTAGTGTACCCAAAATAAAAGCATTATTACCTACAATCAGTGGCGGCTGGTGGATTTTGCATATCTTAGTTATTAGACATGGGACCCACACCAAATTTATATGAGTTTATAATAAGTCATTATTAATGACACTAAATATAAAGGCAGAATTTAAATAGATGTTTGCGAAAAAAAGATAGTTTTTGCTTTCCCTACCCTGCAGCTTGGCCCCCTAATAAAGATAATACAAATATAAGTATTGTTATTAATAATTTACCATAGTTTATTGACAAATTTCAAAATTTATTTAAAAATTCTAAGTAGGTATTACAGATTTTAATTTAGGAAAAGAAATAAAAATTTAAAATGGCATAAAATATGTAATATTTATTAATAATACATTTTGAAATTTGTCGATAAACTTTGGTAAGTTATAAATAGCACCACTAAAATTTGTATTATCTTTATTAGAGGGGCCAGGCTGCAGGGTAGGCGGAGCAAAAACTATCTTTTTTTCGCAAACTTTAATTACATTTCTGCTTGCGCAGAACTTAGTGTCATTAAAAACTCAAAATCCACCTGACGCCACTGCCTACAATATTTTTATTCCGAAAAAGATCTTTTGACAAAGCAAACACATTGATTCGTTTCGCATTTCTTGATATAAATTCGTTCATAAGATTTTCTAAATCTATGTTGTCTGCCAACTCGTGGTAAATATGTAATATTGCAACAATATTCAAATGTTTCAGGTCCCATCGTGTTTCGCACGTACGATTTTAATCTGCAGCCAAATGAGCATATCTATATTGTTGGGTTGGGTTGAGTGAAATTTAAAGATCCGAAAAAAAGTGTTTGATTATCGCATTCCATGTGTTGAATTCCACACATAGAATCTTCACGTGTGTTGAGCTCTAAACACACACAACAGGCCTTCCGGCGCCCCTGTATAGATCTGCATATTCATCTGTATGGACGCTTTGCATTTAAATTTAGTCGGCGCGGCTAATGGTTACAATTTGTTGTTTTATGTGTACCCTTAGTTTAAAGAAAAAGCTCCTTCTACCAAACAAGCATCGAAATTATCCTTGTTTCTTTAAAACTTCGTTGTTAAAAAAGAATAATTTAATTTTACTGTTTTTAAAATGGTCATTTATTTAGTACCTAAATTTAAATAAACTGAAGTTAAAACCGACTTTTGCAAATAGAAATGTCATAAATTTTAACGATTTCATTTTTGCACGCTTTGTATTAATTCGATAAGTTGTTCGACGCCTGAGGGCGCTCTTACGCGGGTGTTGGAAAACAATACTTAATTAAAATATGAATTATTGAAACGTTTAAACCACCCTTGCAAATTCATTTAATTAAACCAATGCATTGCAATGTTTAAATTTATTCGGTTCGATTAAAAATTACGCATTCAATTTTAGAATTACTTTTATAGAACTTTTTTAAGGCGTTATTTTTTACGTTTTTTTTTTGTTATTTTTGGAAAGCAATATTATAACTTTGATTTCTTATTCATAGCATGTAAATTTTACCAATTGTTTTTTCAATATAATACAAAAGGGTCTGACCCTCGGCCTTTTTAAAAAAAATCTTTACAGTGGTATTCAAAGTAGAAGTTTACCACTACCTACTATTAAATTGGGTTATAACATTATGCAATAATTAGTTTTAATATTATTATTATTATTATTATTATTTTTATATTATTTAATACTAGTTTAAAAGTCAAGTTATTATTTAATTCGGTACAGAAATAAAGCTAAAATGTCATCGTGGCAGTTGAACTTAACCTAAAAATGATTACAGAATCTTAAGATATTATTTAATTAAATTATAGAAAACACTGTACCGTAAACACGGGTGGCTTTGGCTCACTTTCAAACTTCAGCTTAAAATTTTTGTGGTTTTAACAATCATAAACATTAAATTTTGTATACCAAAATTTGAGTCTTGAGTTGCTCTTTCATAATAAATATGTTATAATAT